TCACGAAGGTAAGTAGGTGTTGGATGTGCGTTCAAAATTACAGCTTTCTTTTTTGTTAAAGTTGTAAATGCTGCTTTAAGTGGAGTTTTTGATACAAAAGCAAAATGGTAAGCAAATTAGATTGTATAGGTTTTAGCTGCAGATTTGGAGCTTCACAGTCACTTTACGTTTGTACATTATACTCACTCACCTACCTATACAAAGTGTAAATATACTTTCACCAATAGCAACAAATTATTGTACAATCACTGACAAAACTAATGGTCCATTTATGTTTATTGTACAGATTTAAATCATGTGTTAGAAAAACAAATGGTAAACAAAATGATCGTAATACAAAGAGCATTTGCACAAATAGACTAGCTGCATTTTTTAAAACGCTTAACAACACTCTGGAAACGTATCAATAGAGCTTTAATGCAGAATTTATTTGTAGGATATGGTGTGACATCGGATGAATACACAATATTTATCAACGCCTCAACGTGCGACATCAACTACATCCCCAAAAATTATCCAATGGTCTTTGACATGGACCTACCTCCCGGGGTGCAAAAATAAAGTACATACGAATAAATGCATTTATTGTAGTACCTACTTATATGTTACGGTGTAAATACACAAGGTGTTTGTTGTATGTGTTGCTGAGAAGAATGTAGCTGTCAATGTGATTGTAGCCATTAGGTATTGTGGTGATATTAGCATTTTAGCTTAGTAAAGTTTAAATGTAGATAAAATGAATTCAAATGAACTAGTGTAGCTACACAGGGTGTTCCAAATTGCTTATTTTTTATGTTCTTCAGAAATATTTTTAGAACTAAGAGATGGAGTGACGCAGCTGCCTAGATTGACGATGTCAATTGTGACGTGTGACTTGCGCGAACATGGCAACATTGCAAAAAAACAAAAACGCAATAAAAGTGTTTGTTTTATAACTCGGTTGTTTGTGGGAATAAAGATTTGAAACACTCTGTACTGTATTTCATTATTATAAATTGAAAATATTGCTATATGGCAAATAGTTTTTTTTTTAATTTACATAGATACGTCACACTTAATAGCTGATGACATGGAAAACGTTCAAATGTCTAGATATATCGTATATATGTATATAGGCGATGTGTATATTTTTCTATCATTTCAATTAGGATTGAGTATATAAAGTTGCAGAATTTATATACAAGAATTTTGTACTCCACTCATTTGGTAATATATAACAATGGTAATATGTAATTAATTCATTCGCATAAGACTTGTGAAAATGTAATGCATTACACAAGGTGTAAGCTTTAAAGGGATTGAAAACACTTGCATTGGTTTAAGAATACTTTGCAAGTGAGTTTCAAGCCATTTAAGGTATTGGTGAGGATTTTACAGTGCAGTGTTGAATCCTGTTGTTCAATGAGATTTGAGTTGTTGCAATGGAATCAACAATTGTGACTTCTATAAAGTGTAAAACCGCAGGTGAATCAAGTCAATACAATCTTAATGTAATCAATCCTTTAAAAATATCATACTCATACTACTTAACATATATTCTAGGACCGCCATAGTCTGACAATAAAAAAAGGGGAAAGGTAGGCCCTTTGAAAATCCCCATTTATTGAGGGGTTGACAAGAGTCCAAAAACATTTTGAACATAAACAAGCGCGTTTGCTCATTGCATAGTAAAAAATTTACACCAACACCTTAAGACAATTGATTTATTTACACACAGAAGGCAGCTCGCAAAATTCTTAAATTTATCAACTATTAATAAATAATATGTTTTGTTTATAATTTCACATTTTTACTTTTGTTGTATTTATTTATGTGTATATTATATTACAATCTATTTTGTTAATAAAAAAACCCATTAATTTGATATTGTATAGAATGTGTCAAATATTACAAGCTTGTACAGTGTACACCCCTAAAGGGGCACTGGCTTAACTCTTCCATCACATCACAATAATTCCAAATGTATGCCTTTAACTATAACAAGCTTACTTTCACACCACTTTAGGCCTAATTTGACTAATAGATATTACTTTTGATGGGCATTAAAATATGCATATATTTATTGTCAATACTACCTCAACTTTTCTTGTAAATTTGCCTATTTTCATGTATTGTTAAGTGCTTGTGATTATACTGTCAGTTATGTACATCGTGACTAAATATAATAAAATAAAATATTTCATGTTACTGAAGAAACACTAAAATGAGTTTAATTTTAAAAACCTATAGTGATTTCAATAAGATGTAAACCCAGAAGGTCTAGAATTGTGCAGTATTGTTTAGAGTAGCAAGTCTTGTTGAAATCATACAAGGTCATTGAATAAAAAATTATCTATTCAATGACAAGGTCGAGATAAAGCAGATGCAAATACATTGATACAGCCTCAAGTGGTCACACTCGCCTTTTGCTACCCCGGGTGCATGGGAGGAAGAGGTATCAGGTCAGCTGGCCAAAACAAGAAAAAAATTAATATTTTAGTGTAGGTATATAATGAGCGCGGTCCCCAAAAAGTTCCAGGTGCATCTGGATAAGCAGGCAGTAGGCAAGTATGGGAAAAGGCACGTTTCGAAACAGCAATAGAGGAAGTAGAGAAATTTGTAAGTTTTTGTGGCCTGCAAATGCATTAGGGGGATCGATGCCCAGCAGTCAAATCTATATGCAGAAAGAGTCGAAGGCCAGGGTATAGGATGTGGAGTACTAAATCAAGTCAGACTTATCCCATACTGATAGTTTAAATCAAGAGTTACATTTATAGAACAGCTTGAGTTACAATTTAATTGTGTAGATAACTTGGGGAATTCTCAAGAGCATATTAGTTGAATTCGAGGTCCATTTTTGTATCAGAATTATTTGTAGTTGTTAATTTTATTTAAACAATCACCGTGTATTTTGTTTATTTGTTGCGTTAAAAGACTAAACATCTGGAAGCAATTGCGTAGGATTTGTACAAGTTTATCTCTGGTCGCGTAGATAAGAAGTTTTGTTAGCGCGGCGTAACTTGATTAGTTTGAAGATACGAAAGCACAAGTGCAGGTTGGATGAGAAAATTGAAAATAAAGGGAAATTGATATAAATAAAAGAGACGGACGTTAACCGTAGCTTTGTTGATGATGGACGTTTGAAACGTATCCCTTCGTTTTGGTGTACCTATTTGAAAAGGCAGCCTGTCTTGTTTATTTGTAAAGTTGTGTAGAAAAATATTAAAATATTACGCATTTTGGAAAAAAAGTCGCTTCATTAAAAAAGGGAACTTATACAAAGGTATAGTTTAGGTAAATATACAATGGTTTTGGTAAAAGTAAAGTTGTTAAAAAGTTTCCCCAATTTACCGGAGAAGTTACATTTTAATCTACCTGCAAAGGATCAGTATTATGTGATAAACCAAAAAGAGGAAATTCAAAATTCTTTAATGTGTTGCAAAACCTAAATAAATAATAAGACTTCTTTTGAATACGAAAGTAAATGTGCTGACCAAGAAAAACCTTGCGTTGCAGTCTTATCGTATTAAATAAATCGCGAGATTTAAATAAAATCGTATCAAGTGGCGAAATTATAACTAAAAATGTCAATATTTACCATAGTAACTTCAGTTCAATCAGCCCTATTGTTAGAGACGTATAATTATAACAATTTGGTGCAAGTGCTTACTGAGGATTTTTCCTAATACATATAACAAAGAAATTAATTTCCACTGACAAGTGACAAACACCCAACTATAAACCCACGGCAATCAAATTTCTCATTTCAATCAAGATTACCTGCCCATATGAAGAAGAATGGAGAAATTTCTATTTTTTTGTTACACCTACATTAATTTTGAAAATGTAAGTAAAACAATAATGCAAAAGAACCATTATAATACCTCCACAAATGAAAACGTTAGGAGACTTTAAAGTTGCGTTTCGAAAAATAAATTCGTTTCACCAGTCTCCGCATGTGATGCACGCCTGTACGTATAGTTTGTTTTGGACGCTGGTTAGTCCAATTTAGCCTATGTGAAATCATGCAAATCGTGTGTTTAATCGATCCCTTTAACAATTCAGATAGATGTCTCATGCTAAATTATGTTGAGCTGTGCCCAAACTTCATTTCAAGTGTCTTCAAAATTTGGTAAGTGATCCTTTTGGAGTTTAAGGAATTTGATCATGACCATTGTTTGCTTGGAATCTGGAATTTAGTCAAAATTGAATTTTTTTTATTATGCCGGGATACGGATCTGTACTAGGAGAGATTTAATTAGAGAGCTAGTTAGGTAATTAGGTTTCAGTTGTTTTGTGTATGGTTCACTCTGGCAGGGGCCATTACATACAGCAATATAGTTTGTATATTGGATCTTTGATCGTGTATGTTCTAAGAAGTCAACAAGGACGCAGTGTTCTCTTTCAGTAACTAGCGTACAATCCAGGATTAATGATAACTTGATGCGTGTCTCCATTGATTTTATTTCCCACCAATCGCCTTTTGTTGCCGATTAAAGATCCATTATGCAAACTTTAGACTGTTATAACGTGAGAAACTCAAAACCTTATTTTATTGTCATGTGATTGGTTCACCCCTGCAATATTCTGCGCTACTCACCCCACGCCAACAGGGGACAATTTAAGGTTAATGGTACCAAGACTCTCACAGGCCTAGTTCTAAAAATAGATCAGTGGTGTGTTATTGTCTGTAACTTTGTAGGAATCATGTTCCACTGTTTCCGTGTAATCTAAGTTTCACAACATCCAATTATCCCCAATTACCTCGGATTATCGATTTATTGTATTATATAATTGTTAATGATTGCAAATTGTTAGGGACACTTTTGATTATCATTTCACGCGATCAAAAATTGTGAGAGCGTTACTACTCTCAAAAAGTGAGGTTGTTAATGAGTTAATGTTAGTAAGGGTTGGTGCTCGCTTACGTAAAAAGCTGTTGTTTGGCCTAATTTTAACTAGAAAGCCATGATAAAGGTTTAAAAAACGTTTGAAAGAACCTAGAAAACTGGAAAAAGGCATTAATATCAATTTTTACTTTTAATAATCATAGTCCATCACAGAATAGCAATATCGAGAGGATTTACTTGTCTAAAACAGCTGATTGCAGATACATGTTTAAAATGAACAATATGCAAAACAACTACACTGAATGTGTCATTAGCACTAAACGCCTATATGACACAATCCACTGTATATTGGCATCCTGTGTTACAACAAAACAACATAATTTCAACTATTTACAATAAATACAATTCAATTAAGTTAAGAATAAATTAATGTTAAATTACATGCACGTAACAACTGAACATTCATCATAAAATTGATTTCAAGCAGGTCACATGGTAATCAAATCTCTATACAAAAAATTGAAGATGTTTTCACATCTGGCAAGAGTATTTACATATTCATCGATAATACTGTCGCAATTTTAATATTATGCTCTTCCAAATATAATAAGTAAACAACCATTGTTAATAATAATACTGAGTAATACGGACGAAGATGATATTATTACGCACTTCTACTGCTGCCTGGAAAAAAATCTACACACTTATTGCATACATACTAATCATATTAGCAAACAAATTAGTTGACTACTTTCCATTTATAAATAATGGGACGTAAGTGAAGGAATGTAGCAACTAGTTTGTTTACTAGCATAACTGCTACTATATAATTTACAAACCCACTTGGGAAATTTGTCACGACAAATTAATACTAATGGAAGTACAAAAAATGCAGTTTGAATTTGCCTGGTGGTAATAATAGCCTAACTGGGAAAATGTTTAGGAATGTGAATTAATACCATTGAAAGTCAGTTGTAATGGTTAATACTGTGCAAGACAACATTTAACTAATCAGACTTTTTTTTAACATTGATAACCATGCGACACAATCAAAGAGTATGTAATACGTAGATACAAAATACCGTTACATCCTTCTTACACACTCTTTGATACATACAACACAAAACAGATTCTTCAAACCACACAGATTTCCACTAATGATCACTATAACCTATTATCCTCACCACATAAATAAAAACAATTACCTAACAATCAAAATTTTCAATTCTACTACGCTTTCATTAAGACTAGATAACACTGACTATTGCTTTATAGATCACGATGAATATATAGGTAGAGGATGAGCCTCAGAATTCACAACGTATTTATCAATATCTAACAGCTTAGGATTACTACTAAATAATAAATATAAATACTTTAAGGTTTCGCTAAGAAAAAATGATTCCATCAAATCTTTGGGACGAACATTTGCCGTGTTACGTACGTTACCGATCGACGTGTAGCCGTTCACTACCTTCGTGTACTTCTCGAACGCCTGAAAGATGTTCCAACCCCAATCTTGATATGTGGCGTTCTTCGTTATTTGATACATGTACCAGAGACTTTCGATGAACTCGGGCCTCAGCAGATTGTGCGCGTCGTTGGTTTTGACGTACATATCGTTCGAGTTATCTGCCTGGAAATACACGTTTGCGTCAAATTTTTTTTGGAAGTGCAACTAACAAAAATTCCGCAGGAGAATAAATCAATATTTTTCAATATAATCAAAAATTATTAAATTATTAAAATTATCGTGCCTGTCTTTCCCAAAATACAACTTATTTCTAATCTTATTTGGTATTTTGATACAGAGAAATCGTCATCGGAAAATCATACTATATTAACAATGATCCATAGAAAGGGGTTGATTCTGGTTTAATGCCAATTTGAATTTCCTAGTTGTGTTAATTAGTACAAATTTCTCTGCCAATGGATTCTATAAGTAGAAATTAATCATAAAGAATAGTACATTATATATCAAGATAGAGAAGTACAGTATTATTGCCTGAGCACCAAGATTACATTTCGAGGCGCTTGCGCCGAGGGGTGTAAGGTGCGAAGGCAATAAGAGACTTCTCTACCGTGGTATATATACTATTTTTTTTCACTACTAGCACTTGAAATCCTCTAAATTAACATATTATATTGATAAGAGAGTTAACGATTGGACAGAATTGTTTGTTTCTTAATTTAACATGTCAATCAAGTACGTAGAAGTACAAGTCAAACAGGCCGTATTTTGTTCTGTCATTGAGATATTTTCAAAGAGTGATTTCGTTCGAATTTTTTCAAAATGTGATAATTTTAGGTATGTAATTTCTCTGGAAATGGCGGATGGTGGCAATTATTCATTTTAGAGAACTTGTCCAAACGTTTATTGAGCGAAATTTCGGGTTGTGTTTTCTAAAAGTGACAGCGTGACAGTTCTCATTATTGACTACTAGTTAATAATGTCCACATTATTAACCACTTTGAACAAATGCTGAGAAAGCCTACTTTACAAGTGGAGAAAAGGTTAATAATCATGTCATCAGACGCTAGTAGTGAAAAAAAATCATCATTTATGTATTAAAGGTGTTAATTTTTACATAAACCAGGGTAGCAAAAAACAGAGCATGGTGACGGGTTAACATTTGTTGGATTAGGATTCAGGATAGATGTAAATGAATAATTAGTGCGATGCAGAGTGAATGTGTCGATGTATCATATATTGATTGAGTGCCGCCAGACCGAAAGGCTGAGAAGAGAGTTAAATCTACCTAATAACCTTAAAAGTATATTTGAAGATACAACTGATGTTGTCAATAGATTACTGTTATTTCTAAGTAGAACTGGTATTTTAAGGAAACTATAATTACTACAGAGAACATAAACACTTATTAAATAATAGCTAATAGCCAAAGCAGCTGATGCTAAATAAATAAAAAAAATAAATAAAAAAAAAAAATAAAAAAAAAATACAAAAATCTGTCAGTGTAGTGGAATTTGACTATATTCTTTCTTATCAATACGGTATTTCATTTACTCTAATTGTTTGGTTATTTTCTGCTATCAAGGAAGTCAGAAGGTTAAAATTTTAATCTTCAAATATAAGGGGTTTGATTGAAGATTTATTACTGAGCTAGCCATGTGTAAAATAAAAAATTGTCATATTAAAATCTTTGCCAGTGCCGTAGAGATTAATTTTTATTTTTTTGCAATTGGGATTTTTCAACCCATTGTGAATCTAACTAACCTGTTACAAGTGGCGTTTTTAAAAATTAAAATAAAATTTAAAAAAAAATCAAGTATTTAGCGTCCGCCAATTTATTATGCCGGACAATTCATCGGTCGTCTTCGTCATCTCATATAAATAATCAATTCAGAACGACTACACCAAGTAGGATAATTGTTTTTAAAAAGATAAATTCCAAACGGAAAGACGTAAAAAACACTTTTTTTCTCTTTTCCGTCATTTATAATCGCGATATAACTCTTAAATGGCGCGAGATCTACTACGGCCCTAGAAGAATCCATACACTTCAGGAGAAATGCAAAAAGTAGACACTCAAACATATCACTCAACGCGAACGAAGACAAAAATCTCTCTTGTTCACAATGAGTTTTTAAATAAAGTACAATTAATTTCCGTTTGTATGTAAGGAGAATGTGACCCAATTCGAAAATGTTCCCTCGCGTAAAATTTTTCACTATTTGTAAATGCCTAGCGGACAACTAAAAGAGCCATCTGGTGGCATGGAAAAAACACAATTCCTATTAACTCTTACTTATGTTAGCGTCAGTTCTCATTGTTTTGTTAAATAAAATATGACAATCGCTTTAAGTGTGGAGCTGTGGATGTTTTGTCAAGCGAATACTCGTATACTTACCTATTGCAAAATGAAATATCACTTTAGCTTACAACATAAGTGCACCAACACTTATATAGGGATTTAGCTAGTCAAACTTACATGTATGTTGAAGTAAGTGATTTCTGGTGCCAGAAAAGTGGGTTGTTGAACATACGTCTGATAGCAGGTAGTCATCAGCTCTTCGGCTAGCTTCATATGACTTTGGGGCATTCCATGATGTACTCCCAACGCAAGTGTCCCGGGCAAATAGCACGTCAAATGATCCATTTTAGGTTTAAAATCCTTTCCGCCGACCAACAGCTCGCCGATGAATAAATAACCGTTGGGTACGGTTCTCTGAACCAGATGCTTTTGAACACCATTAATCGCTTCGATGTAATCGTCTCTCAAGCTTAAATAGGACTGTGTTTTTGCGCGTTGAAGCAGCGATAATACTCACTAGTCAATTGTTTTTCCGGTTTGAATCCACTGTTTAAGTAAGTACTCGTAGTAGCTGTCGCCTCTTGCTCCGAGTGTTACGGTGGAGTGAGATCGAAACTGCCCAGAGTTTGCGTTTATGAATATAGGAACTAAACCGTCTCTTTTTTCTAACGTATGTACATGGTACGCCACCTTTGCCACTGCTTCCTGTAATTATATCGGAACTGAATTGATACATTATCTCTTAACCCTCACACTACAGTAACACGGAAATAAAATCAACCCGGCAACGTTTAAACATCGCCACCCACCGCCGAAAAGCTAATCGAATTCCGCTTAAATTTGAAATTGAAAAGTGACACATGATCGAACACCAAGACAGGGCCCCCTTACGTTAGTTCTAAATAACGCTATGATTGCTTGAGATATAAGCACGTAACAAAACTGTACAATTATTTCCATTCCATACACACAGAGGTGGGGACATGGTTGTTTTTACCACCCGCACGTTAGTAAGGGAGGTATTGTATTGGGGTAAAAACTGACCCTCCACTTTTTAGTGGGGTTATTTATTACTCCAACGCAATACCTCTCTTACTATAGTGCAGGTGATAAAAAGGCGGTGTCCAACGAACTGGACAGGCATGTCTGGAGAAGGTATATAGGATTACAATGAGCAAGTTCATAAAAAAGAACAACCAATAGGATGATGGATCTACGAAGCTCGGCATCGCATCATAGCACTTTTCTCCAGACGAGAGCTACCTAAATATGACAAGAGGAGAGAGAAAATATTTGAAGAAGTCACGCATGCGCAGGAGGCTACGGCAGCGCGGGATTTGCCCATCAACAAGGCTCCAGGGTGGGGCATGGTAACTGCAAAAGTGAAGTATGCAGCCAACAGAAAGCCAGAAATATGGACAAACCTGGCGAACAACTATCCGAGGCAGGGAATATATCTAAAGGAATGTACACTGTAGGCTGACACTGATCCCAAAAGAAAAAAGTGCATATAGACCAATAATTAGCACTGGATTTGTCAGCTAAATATTCGAAAAGATCCTCATCAATATGTTGCAAGTGAAAAGGTTCTTGGCTCGGGAGAAATAATAGAGACAACTTCAGAACAAAGATTAGTTGAATATGGGGTGCCCCAAGGCTCTATCCTTGGTCCAATTCTTTTCATAATATTTATTAATGACCTATCAATTAATTTTACATCTCCGTGCAACGTTTTAAGCTACGCAGACGACACTAGTGTGACTGTCGCTTGTAGAAATGATGATCTAGAATATTACCTAAATCATATAATGAAAACTTTAGGGAACTGGTTTAACGCAAATAAATTGCTAATGAACGTAGACAAAACAGAAATTTTAATATATAATAAAAACTCAACAGTTAGTATAACGGGACTAACGTTTGAAAGAGAGTACATTGAAACGTGTGATAGCTGTAATTTTTTGGGATTACTTTAGATAGAAATCTCAACTGGCGGCATCACATAGAAAATCTAAAGCCAGTATTAAATAAATCTATCTTTACTCTGCCACAATGTAAACAGTTTTGTGACCAAAAAACGTTGCTCCAAGTGTACTACTCACTGTTTGAATCGAAGATGAGGTACGGCGTCATTATGTGGGGAAATGCAAATAATAAATTAATTAACGACCTATTTAAGATACAAAAAAGAGCTATTCGTACAATGTTTTCATTACAAAAACGAGAGTCGTGCAAGTGGTTTTTTGAAAGACACAATATTAAAACCATTTATGCTCTATATGTGCTAGAGTGTTTGTGCTTTATCTTCAGAAACAAATTTCAATTTTCACGAAATTCCGATCACCACTCATATAACACTAGATTTAAAAACAACTTCGCTTTAGCCATATCAAAAAATAGAGTACATGATACGTCATATTTGCAAATGGGTGCCAGATTCTACAATGCTCTCCCAGAACACGTAAAATCAATTTCGATATATAAACATTTCAAAAAAAAGTTTCTCATATCGTCACTAAAATGGCTTTGTATTCGCTGGATGAGTTTTTTATAAATGCTACATGTTAGGTACTAAGTGTTTTATCAATGTTTTGTTTTAAAATTTTATTACTTGTTAAATCTTTTATACATATTTTTATTTTAACTTTTACGCGCTATCTCTATTTTTGGCACAAAGAAATAAATAAATCAATCAATCGTGAAAAGATTGGAGGAAAGGGCGATCCATACATGCAATAAAGGTATTAGACCAGTGTTTCTCAAACTGCGGTGTAAAGCACCTTAAGGGGGCGCGAGTTCCCTGATGCGTTTGAGGGAAATATTTACCTTTAAAATTCTTATATTAAGTATTTTTATGTAAAATTCTATTGGACCAATTCTTACACAAATAAGAAGGTATCTACAATTCAGTAAATTCGCAAAAATTCATCAAGGTTTTGTTAAAATTATTCTTTGATATCTTCGAAAATAAATTTTCGGTTTTTTGGTCATAACTTCGCTATTTGTAGACATACAAGAAACATTGAGAGGGAACATTAACCACCCTAAAATTCTACATAACTCTGTATGTATTACGGGTTCAGAGTCCAAATATTGAAAATCAAAAAAAAACTAATTTCGAGTGTAATTTTTAATAAATATGTTTGTAACAGCAGTTTTTATTTTTTAATCGGGATAGGGGGGCGTGAGCAATTATAGTTTTATGAAAGGGGACGCGATGGAAATAAGTTTGGGAACCACTGCATTAGACAGCATCAAGTAAACAACGACTCTCATAGAAATATGAGGACATGTTTAATGTAGACGTTAAAAACGCCCTCAATACTGTATCTCACCGTGATCTAGTACTGACAATGAAGAATAGAACACGAGGGGGGTGATGATTAAACTTGAAGCTGGAGTACCTCAAGGAAGGGGATTCTGGGACAAACCCTAGCCTATGATGGAATTTTAAGGATAAAAGTACCTACACTGGGGTTACGATCTTTGGATTTACGTCACGTGATCCGTCGAAGACGGAAGCATGGAAACAACCACGGCCAAGCTACAAGAGATGATAGGGATTATAAACCAGTGGATGGAGGAGGGAGGTGAGGGGGACAAAATTAGTGCCGAAAAGACTTCCAACTGGGCGCATAAAATTAGGTGAAGTCACAATGGATACCTGGGACAAAAATCAGTCCACAAAAGAAATCAAAGGTGTAGTTCTAGACAGGAATGGTACATACATAGAGCACATCAGATATGTGTTAGTAAAGCGGCGTTTACATTAGTCAACTTCTGATCGGTCGATCGAGTTGATCGATCTGAGGTCGTTCGATAAAAAGGTTTACATTTTAAGCGTTGTCGGCCGACATTCTTATCGTTCAAGATGGCGCCTGTGAAACGTAAAGAAATTCGTTCTGTTCATAAAGATCTATAAATTTAATGATTTTACTTCCAGTCCAATTTACTTTAGACATTTTGCCTGCTTTTTTTACAAACAACAGAAATATTTGTTTCATTCGATTGTCAACTAATTCTCGAGTGTTTAGACGGTCGACTGCGAGTTGAAACGACCGAGTTGTTCCACCAAAAGTAGCCATAAAGTCAACTTCTAGTTGAAAACCAGTAGTCACCCGGCTCGGTTGAAAATCAGGTTTACATGGGCGATCGTAGGCGACTTTCAGTCGATCAACTTAGTCGTCCGACCAGAAGTTGCCTAATGTAAACGCCACTTAAGAGCATTAAAGAACTATGCGGCGCTCAATCGCATAATGCCAAACAAAGGAGAGAGGGCCAGAGCGTCTAAAAGAAGAGTTCTGTGCAGTACAATGCCGTCAGTGCTGTAATACGCGGTCGAAATGTGGGTAGGGGCGCTTAAGTGGAGGGTTGGAAAAAATGGGCGTTTTTTGATTGCTTGTAAAAAATTTTCTATTGGACCGACTTTGTTTTTTTCTTATCGACGCAATATTTTGTTTTTTTAAATTTACTAAAGAAGTGTTATTCATAAAATATGGACCGTTTTCGAGTTTTAAGCGAAAAACTGAAAAAAGTCTTAACATTTTGATGTATTTTGACTGCCAAGTTGTGCCGGGAAAAAATTTGTGTGCACTCTTCAAATACATGTTATTTGGACCCAAATGGACCATTTAAAACAATAATAGTATATTAAGATACAAGTGTATAATCAAGTCTTTAAAGCACGCGTAACGAGTTTAAGGGCACGACGCAAAGCGGAGTGCCTTTAACGTTGCAAGTGCTTTAAAGATCAATTATACACGTGTATCTTATAGTATTTTTTATTATACCTGCAGTATAATTTAAAAATAGGAAATACAATGAAGTCATATTGCCGTTATACTCGAATACATGTCTAATTAAGTGGGCTGGGTGTTCGTCATTTCACGATTGCCATGGAAATGTCACTTGTCGTTTGATTATAAAAATCATCGTCTTTGTCAATTAAACGATTTCCGTTGAAAAAGATAATACATCGTCCATTAAATCGATTGTTGTAAAATCTAAACAAACGTTGGTAGGTGTAAAATCCAACTCCAGCAAAGCCTATTATAAAGAATATGAAAAGTTGTTTCCATGGATGAATAGGAAGTTACTTACGAATAAAGTCTTAAATGCATCGATAATGCTGGCATATATGAAGGAAATGTCAAAGGTATTTAAATCTTCTATCTTTTGGTGCATTCATTCAAAACTTCACTTATTGCTGGACTAAAAAGTGGAACAGATTTGGAAGCATACCCTAAATTACGCGCGTTTGTAAAAGCTTCAACCAAAGGATAGGTACAAGCCAAAGAAATGTTCTGCATTTACAGAAAGCGACTTAGGAAGATTTTTTATTTCACCCAGATGACAGTTTCAAAAGTCATACTTGAAGTATCGTTACTTAGCAACTTTAAAGCACGTGTGTTTTAAAGGCCCTTTTTCGCACGCATTTGAGTGTTTAAAACGGAGATTGTGATTCAGGTATAATAAAAAATCTTTTACACCACCTTTTGCAAGTCAAAATGTTCTGCATACTGGACTATTAAATTTATTTGACAATTAGCGACTATTTTAGCCGCATTATTTAAACCATAAATGTTACGTGAGCCAATCATTTGTTTATACCATGTCTTAGGAGCTTTATTTTATTTCCAACGGTGGCTTACGTTAATTAATGATTTACTAAATCACTGGTGGGCGCGTAACAAAATGCAGAGGATGGTAGCGGTGAAAATTGCGAGTGCATATAAAACAGTGGCGCCTGAGGATCTACTTGTGGTGGGTGGAATCCCTCCAGCGGACATAATGGTTAAAGCCAGAGCGGGTAAGTGGATAAGCGAAAGGAAATCTATAGTGGCAGTTAACATGGGATAAAAGAGGATCATGGACCCTCATCCCAGATGTGAAACAATGGATAGGCTGAGGGCATATTAGTCCGAGAGCTGTCAAAGTTTGAAAAAAAATAGTCATTGATTTGTGAACCAATTTCAGACATATGCAGACATACGTTAAAACGCTGCAACAACTATCAAGTATGCAAAATTGATAAAAAAAACTTGTCTGAAATTGATTGACAAATCAATGACGCACAGCCAAGGGACTCTTGATTTGAAGTGTATACTGGCCGCAATAAATACATGAACATCTAGTGTACTTTGATCACTTTTGACGAAAGTTTCAGGAGAATTGTCTTTATTTCGGCATAAAAAACGATGAAAAGTTCAACATGATATAATTACAACTAATTCAGACGACACTAATAATGTGTAGATCATCCACTACTTCTTACGCATTCAGATACCCGACTGGGCATACATTCTTTTTTCAAACTTTGAAGGAGCCTGGCAAGGTGTTAGCCCCGCTTCTCCTCAACCAGATCTGCATTTCTGTGTTTGGATATTATTGGATCGCAGATTATTGAAAAAGATGGGGGTTCTATTTTTCCAATTTTCCGTCTTTATTATGAAAAAAATTGAAACCTAATACGGTTGATTAGAGTAAAAAAAATTTTTCTATAAAAAACCTTAATACATTTTTGCTGTAAAATAATTTGGGGAGCCAATAATCGCATGTTATGAATTTTACATTGACATCCCTATGATGCGTTACGCAAGTCACCACCCTGTATATGTATTTACATACAAGTTGAATAAGCACACCAAGTGATCGAAGATAACCAGCTTAATAGTGTGATAAGATAATTTTTCCATACATTAGTCAGAGAGGAAGAGGGAATGGTACTTATCTCGGTCGAAAGTTATTTTAAAACTAGTTTATAAAATCACCCGATAAAAGTGAAAGCTTAAATCTACAGTTATCATGTTACGGTGTTTTCGAGTGTACTTTTTATTTTTGGTGCATTCTTTTGGAGAATTTGGCAATTTACCCTACCTCATATTTGAAAATCCCACTACTTCTACTCAAATCTTTAAATTCCAGCTGAATGGTGGTGACCTCAGATGTGCTACTATCAGGTGACCACTTTGGTGCGTGAGCCTTAGTGGTAAATAAATTAATATCAGAAAATGGAACACCGCTCGGCGTATCAAAGCAAGGCAGTAAACGATCACCCAGATCAATCTAAAGAAAACGATTAAATTGTGAAACTCCACAGTCTGTCACACTCACAGATTTATTGAGAAACATTTTATCACCGCTCAGATGAAAAGTGCTCAGCAACCCTCCTAACACTCTGATTGTGACTTCGAACAAGTTGACGTCTCTATTCTTATCAAAGTGTAGAAACTTCTCGACCCACTCTCGAGCTTCAAGAAACTCTGAAACAGATCTCTGCAGAACTCGAAACCGGTGGCAAGTACCTACCTTTTTTCAACCCCATGATATAAAGGGTATCTAACGAATCAACAATTGTTAATCCCAGCCCGAACCAATCGTGATAACCCTCAGACATCGGCTTTAAATGGTCGTGCCCCCACGCAAACTGCCGGTAACCTTTCCACGCGTGCTTGAACGCATCGACAACGGCCTGCTGTCTATCGTCCAAAACACCTGAAAACTGCACCCCAATGTTGGGACGAGCCAGCACATGCTTGGCATTATTAATTTCTTCAACTGGTACGTCGGCAGGCTCCTCTAACACTTGGTTTTCATTCTCTATCTCGTTAAAATCGTTTTCGACGTCGCGTGGATCATTTCTTATATTCACCAAGACATCCTTCTTAATGGTATTCACCTCAGCCTTATTAACATCGACAATTGAGTTCTCCGAGTAGCCGGGTAAGAAGTATACAATTGTAAATAACACAGCAGCACTGAACATGTAAACTAAGCTACGTTGGAATCGTGATAGTTGATTCCACCACTAAAACGTGCAATAATCGTAAAAGGTTTTTTGCCAGTTTAAATTACCCTCCAAATGCTTTTAGTCTTCTTGGCCTCTTTGCTGTATCCATCTGAAGAGAGTAGTATGGAAACATGATGACTTTTCGAAGCATCCATGGCTTCTTTCAATTGAGCTATTATCGCATTTTTGACGGGCGTTGAAGAGGAATAAGTTGTAAGCAAATTCGGTTAATTATGGAACCAAGTACAATTCCTGTTTTTTCGTGGAAAACAAATTTTCCATTTACATCGTGGCAGAAAAAATTACCACAGAATATACACTTCACCTGACAGGAGAAGGGGCGACGACCACAGATAACTTGGATCGAAAGGTGACAGGTAGACCCAAATCAGTTTACATTCACGTCGTAAATATTTGTAGATAGCGCCACTATTCATAGATAAATTCGAATTTCAAATTCAACACTAAAGTTTCTTCTTTGCTGCACTTAAGTGTTTTCTCAGATAGTTCCTTTGTTGACATATGTCAACTTTATTTGTCCTCTACGTGTACTTACATGGTTTGTAGATACAACAACAATCCACTTATATAATTTTTATTCTTTTAGCGCTATAGACGCACCTAAAATTTTAAATGATACAATACGCTAAGAAATTTTAAAATTTCCCAGGGTATTTTTTAACTCGGAAAGTCGGTAGTTTTTAAAGGCTTCAGAGCAATGAAATGAGGAAAATTTGCTAAACTTTCCAAAACCCTTCAAAATTGTCCGCTTTCTCAAGAGTTTGAGAGTATTTTGATTCTCATGAGGTAGTTTTTTGGTCCTTTAGATTTTTGGCACCAATTAAGTCCTCAAAATCAGACTTTCAAAAGCAACCCCCAGTACCTACGGCATTTTCTTCGGAAAGAAAACTTGTTAGTCTTCTGTAAAAATGTATGTTGTGGGTTTTTTAATTAAGAAAAGTTTTGAACACTATGAAAAATGTGTAACATGCTTTCCAGAGTAACAGACGCATAAAGTTGTGAAATGCTTTGATATGACCCATCCCTAGCAAGTGCAGTAAATAAAGCTAATTAATTCCTTCTTAGAACTTTTCTATGCCTTTCCCAAAGCTATAGGCGAACATATGCAGTGATAGCAATCGAATATTCCTAGAAAAGACCTGCAGGTGAATGGTCTCCAGCAGCAAGTGAAGAAGCTTTGGAGAGGAAGTGGTCTGGTGGCTGGAAAAACGTTATAGTAAAGCATGTATGAAACTCTGAAAAGCCTTCAAATGCTCTAAAATGCACCTAGAAAGCCTTTTAAAATCCTTCTGGAACTCTCTAGTCTCTAAAAGTATATAGAAGACCTAAAATATGTGGAAAGCACATTGAAAGCTGTAGTACCTAGCTATCTAAAGTTCAGGGAAATGTGGAAATAGATGGGGGTTGCTAACAAAAAAGGCTAATATTCTCTATAAATATTACTGTTTTAATATTTTACTCCTAATTATTTTAACTTCGTCAGTAGGTCGATCATTTTTGTCAGTCTCCACTAATCCTATTCTCTTCACTACATTCATTCCTGTCGTTATTCTTCCAAAGATGGCGTGCTTGCCATCCAACCATTGAGTAGGCGCTAAAGTAATAAAGAACTGCGATCCATTTGTATCGGGTCCCGAATTGGCCATTGACAGTATTCCTGCGCCCGTGTGTTTCAATTCGGGATGAATTTCGTCTTTAAAATGTTGCCCGTAAATTGATATGCCACCTTTTCCGGTTGCGGTAGGATCGCCGCCTTGTATCATAAAATCCCGAATTATTCTGTGGAATGTTGTGTTATTGTAGTAACCCCTACGGGAGAGTTCGGCAAAGTTGCGACAAGTCGCTGGTGCGTGTTTCCAATATAATTCAATAGTAAACTCGCCCATCCTAAAATTGTGCACAGTAAGTATTGGGCGATCAAAAATAAGTGACTGTCGAGTCCCCTTTGAAAGTTTAAGTTAAGTACAATTTCCCATAAACAAAAATTCCAAAGGTGGCCCGATGGTCACTCATTATTTATCACTATGTATACAACACGTGAGGGTATTACTTACGTTGTTTCAAATACAACAAACGGTGGCTGCCACATTTTATCAGGTATACCTGATTGGTTCATCCCTTGTAAGGCAATCATTTTGCTTAAATGCAACAATTATTTCACAACTCTGTCGAATCTTCAAACTACTTTAGGGTTTACAACTACTATTTTTTATGAGCACAAAACTAGCATTGTCTGAATATGGCTTGAGCACACCAAAATCAGAAATTGTTCACCACCTAAAGCCACAATACTTAATTTTTGGAAATTTAAATGTTAGGTTATGAGATAAGTACACAGTTAGGAGGTGGTTACCATTACACCGCTCACCGCTGGCTATTAAAACATTTACTAATTTTAATATACAGGGTAAGTAGGTAATGATTATTTTTCAATGCTGTTTAGTCGCCTCGTACGACATGCAGTGTCCTCTGCGGTAGGGTTATTCTCTCCCGCCCCTACACGGGTAATATAACTACAGCAAATGATATTTTGTTTTCTCCAGTTGTACAGCTAATGAATCTGTTTTGTAAAGCGAATAATAACCAAATTTCATCCTTCACATCTTTACCAATGAAGTCATTGTTATGTTGGTTGCCTATACCTGGAATAACACCATCTGTAGTTGGTGGAGCTAATTGTTAATGTCAATATCAAAAACCTAACCTCCACCCTCCATGGGAACATTACAAAACGCTTTGCTTTGATCTCAGCCCTGAATGAAATTACTCTTAGGGCAATGGCAACATAAGCTTAATTGAATATAACTAGAATTATGCAAGGCATTGACATTCACCCCCTAACTGGCAACCCCACTGCGGCATGGAGGGAAATTTCTCAAACCCAAAAGGTCTTCAAGCTGAATGTTAAACCACCTACGAAATCAGTAGATAGTGACAAAGTACGCTTCGTATGCATGAGCGACACTCATTCGTTAACTCACAACATAAAATTCGATATCCCAGATGGAGATGTTTTCATACACGCGGGAGATTTCACAAAATGCGGCCAACAGGAAGAGGTTCAGGAGTTCAATCGTTGGCTGGGAGAGTTACCTCACAAATACAAAGTCGTCATAGCCGGAAATCATGAGCTCAGTTTCGATCCCACTTTCATCCACATCTTCAAGAAACACTCGGAGCACACCTCACGACATACCGGTACTATTTTGGACGACGAAATACCCACTTTAGGTATGGAGAAAGACGCCTTGAATGAGGCAGTTCGCGTAGAAAACGTTAAGCAGTACTTGACAAATTGTATTTACCTGGAGGATTCCACCGTGAATATCTACGGGATTACTATTTACGGTACACCTTGGTAAGTGTCTCATCGATCGCTCAGATTTTCATTCCTCTCAAACAGGCAACCCGAATTTTGCAAGTGGGCTTTTAACGTACCTCGCGGGGAGAAGTGCTTATCGAAGTGGAACCTCATACCTGAAAATGTCGATATTTTATTAACTCACACACCTCCAGTCGGACACGGCGATTTAGTATGCTCGGGCATTCGTGCGGGGTGCGTGGAACTGCTGAATACCGTTCAGCAGAGGATCAAGCCAAAGTATCACGTCTTTGGTCACATTCACGAAGGTCAGTTTTGGTATTTCACATTTACGTCCGCTAACAATTTCATCATTTTTTAGGATACGGAATTACGTCCGATGGTAAAATTATCTACATTAATGCGTCAACTTGTGATATTAATTATATACCGAATAATCAACCGGTGGTATTCGATGTTCCTCTAAAGGCGGGTGTCCACAAGCTTTAAATGTTCTCTCTTTTCTCTTAAACTAGAGTACTATTATTGTTAGGTGTAGGATTTCGTTATTAATTTATAATAAAAATTAAGAGCTAATTGTAATTGAATTTTCACCTGGAAAAGCTGTACTTTATTCCCTCTCATAATACAATACCCTAAAGGGAGTCGCACCAGATTACCAAAATTCAGTTCTCATTTAGTTATTTATTTTTCATATTTATTAAATTTTCTCATTTTATTTGTAAGTGACACCTCTATCCCATATTACTTAGCTATAATTATTTACTTATACCTATACGTAAATTATTCTCTGAAATTCATCATTTTGACATAATTCGAAGTTGTAATTTTTCATAACACAGCATCATGGTATTTCCTTTTTGGTATTACATTACAATCAAAATGAGAAAATTGAATAAATATAAAAAATAAATAACTAAATGCTTGTAGGTATGTTAATACCCGCACGCATAGGACTCTTTTAGAAAGTAATAAAAAGTATAGTAGGCTGTATGGATTAAAAAAATGACGGCGCGCCAATTTAACTGGGCGATCTTGGTTCACTTGATTTAGCGTACGTAACAGTCCATTGCGTGTAAATTCAAATATCATTCTTCTGGTAGTCAGCCGGTGTGTCGAAGTCTTATTTGTTTATAATTTTTTTATTCGACCATTTATAAAGGGGTAAAAAGTATGTCCATGAACCTAGCAGAGCAAGGTCGGCAGAACACATTCAAACTTTGCATAATTAAGTGCCCTATTTCCGAATTAAATGCTCCTGTTTTTTTTAAATAATTACATGTTCTGCCAGGTTCATATGAACACTGCACTACGAAAAACTAAAGAAAATGAAAAGTGAAATATGTTTGATTGTGTTCTGGTGATCTTGCTCTGCTAGGTTCATGGACATGGACATGTAAAAAGTTCCAATAAGGCACTGTTAGCCTTCAATTTTAAAGGGAATTTTTCAAATGATGTGAATACTGAAAATCATACCTATGCGATTCTTCACAAAAATCTCTTGTTGTGTAAAACCACGTCAGATGGACGTTCTTTAGGTTGGAATAATACAGAAGACAAGACAAGTGTACGTTTCTTTTGGGAATTAATTTTGGTGTAAGTGGGGACGCGCGTCGCGTTGTTGATGTATAAAAATTCGTGGAAATAGGAGTTTGATGGAGTAATGGAGGTAATTACCTAAAATAGGCAAAATAAGAAAAATGCGGGCGAGTTTAAGGATACTGTCTTGCCGTACGGCTGTTCAATAAGTCATGACCGGTTGAAGAGAGTGTGTTTCTTGGTACCTATGCTAATTTAGAATAAAGGGAAGTAACTGGCGAGAATAGTGCTGACAGATAAGGAACACATTCTATCAACATAAAAAAGTACATAAAGGGGAAATTGGACAATACCCTGGAGTGTAACCACTGCCTGGATAGAAGTTCAACATGCAAAAGATGTTACAACAGCGCCAATTTAGGATCAGATTGACTTATGATAGTAATGAAAATTAGGCAAAGAAAAATACAAAGCATTTATAAATAATAAAGAAGTATATGATGCGGAAAGAATGATGGAAGGAAAACTACGGTACTAGGCTGCCTGATTTGAATCCGGATTCGGGCATGGATATTTGTAAATGTATAGGTAGTGGGTTTGGTTGGTAGAGCGGCCCTTGGTTTAAATCCCGCACACTTAAAAATAAAGACCAAAAATGAATTAATTAATTAAATGATGCACACAGCACCAAAGTGGATGGAAAAAAGCAGAAAAATAGGATGAAAATAGGAGGCCGAGACAAGTGAAAAGTACAAAATTGGAGGATGAACGGCGACCGACCACTGTGTCCATGATAAGGATGTTTATCATGGGGATCTCGGACAAATTTTCCATTTTCCAGAAACTTTAACGGACAGGTATTCTTGCACGATTAAAGCGTTGTGCGCCGGTGCACCATTCTGTTGAAACCAACAGTTCCTAATTTTTGTTATTTTTTGTGTGCATTACATTGTTCTATTCATAATGCAAAAAGCTACTCCATACAGTATAAATGACTTTTTAAAAGTCATCCAAAAAAAATAAAGTTGATTTCTTTGAAATGAAATGTATTGAAAATCTCTCAACGCTATAGATCTCAAGTAGTAGCAATGAGAAAGAGTAGATACTTTGTATCTATTCAAATAACATCAGAAAAAATAAACAAAATCGGTTTTTCTAATATATCTTCGACAGTAACCAACATTTTTTTCTTTTCTTTACAGCATGACAATTACTTTTATTGCGCAACTTTTCCCTAATTTGACCATTGTCGTATATCTTCTATGGTTTCAGAGATCCCCATGATAGACATCCTTATCTTGGATACCTAGTGTATGTAGGTATATAGATGGAAATAAATTTCTTAAAAATAAAAAGTGCGGAATAAATGATTCGACTTAACTCAATATGCCATAATATCTTAGATGGTAGGTAAATAGATCATTTGAAATCATGGCATAATAACATTTTAATAATTTTATGGCATCAATATTAATAATAATTATAATCTACAGTTTGAAAAATCCTCTGTATAAAAATATGAGCAAGTCTCATCTTAGCGAAAAAAATTGAATAAATATACTTTCCTTATGCAATATGGAATTTGATACACATGATATCAATTAACACATAATTTAGGTCCATTAAAAAGCTTAAGTCTACTATCACAATATTTGAGAATTGAATCTACATTATATTACATTCACAACATTGTAAACTGTAATACAAACAGTTAACGACACAGCTATTGTTATTCTCCTCATCGCATTCCTTCTTCTCCGAATTAGTCGACGGCACCACGCTGGCATCCGTTTGATCAAGCAGGCCGTTTAGTTCCGCTTTGCCGCAGTTCTCTTTTAAATCCGATTTCAAAGCGTTATTGTCGGGCGTTATAATATCGTCGTCTTTTTTCGAGGCTCTAGGCTCATTGTCGACGTCAATGTAACACATTTCCTTATTTTTTAGCGGTTCCAAAATAACGGACGCCGCCAAAATATCAGACTTACATTCTCCGCTATGGGCGTCCTGCGCCAAAACCTCCTTGGACGTTGTGGGCGGTGGAGTTGATCTTCCCTCCTTAAAATCCAGATAATTTGGTGAATCTCCCGACATCATAGAACTGAAACAAAAAATTCGGTTAGTACCCGATAATTGATGCTGTAAAAACGTTAGGTAACCATCGTGCGATTCGGTCAGTTAGTTACATGTCAAGGATGACATTTTGAAAATTTTGATGAATTTTTTATTATAGAGCAAGATCCCAGGGCATCCAGACCTTACTTATTTTCTGATGGACAGTAAATAAATAAATAAATAATATTTATTGGTGGTGTTCATATAATATTTCCACACGTCACAGTAAGGAAGTACAATTACCACTTTATCGTTCGGAGCCATCAAACTTGTAGATTCAAATACTCATCAATACTATAGAATGCTTTGGCACCAAGGAACACTCTGTTTGTTTTTCTGAATATCTTCCAGATCCCTGATGTAGTCAGGAAGAGCATTGTAACAACAGTATGAGTAATATTAGTGAGTACAGATGTATACATACTCCCTAGCTTGGGTCGATGGCCAATTCTCAGGTACCAGGTGCTACAGGTACGTAAAAATTGAACTCACTTTATTTACAGTCTTCGGACTCACTCTTATTTAGGTATATTGTAGAGAATATTGTAAACAATTAGAAATTAATACTGCCAGACACCTTCCATCGGCAGTATCTAAAGTCAGACTTGAAATATCAAAAGAGTAGCTTAAAATCCATGGCAACGATTATTGAGACAATAAGATTGCCATGGATTTTAAGCTAAGCTCCACTTAAATTTGTCGGTCCAAACGGTCATTAGGGGGCTATTTTGTATATTATATTTTGTAAACTGCCAGACCAATCGTAGGGGCCAAACATCCCTTAAGAGCACTTAAAGTGCCGCCGTGAGTAAGAGCGAAAGGCCATTATACGTGCGCTTGAGTGTGAGCGAGATAACTATACGTAGAGCGTGCTTCCGATATTTTAAGTGTCTGGCAATAGATACTGCCGACAGAAGCTGATATTATTCTAATTGGTTACAATCGGTCGCCAGACTGTAAGTAGAGTGAGTACAATATTTTTATGTACCTACTGTAGCACCTGGTACCTGAATTGGCTACAGGGTATGTATACGATCACTGTAAGACTAATACCTACTCTATTGTATATATTTTGTCCATCACAAAACACTGGGGAGGCCTGGGATCTTGGACTATTACCGCCATATAATTATGGGAAGGGAATATGGTAGCCCCCGACAAAATTTTACTGATGGTGGAGTCAAAACTTTAAACGTGAATTGCGGGTGCACGAGGAAAGTGGGAAGCGGGTACCGACAAAGTGAATGTAGTAGCCTTCGACAAGATCTTTTATTGATGGTTGAGTCAAAAGTGGCTATATAGAATACTGATCTGCCACACAAAAATGCGCTGAAGTCCCTTCGATTTCACACGAGGACTTTGGTAATTTTTTATACCAAATTGACAAATTTGCTTGTACTTTTAGCTGCGTCAATGAAGACGTAGGTAAAAGAGCCAGAAGTCCTCAAGAACACCTCAGATTTTGATGATTTTATTTAAAGTTTGTTTGTTTTGTTTAGAGGGGAAAATATACAAGGTAGAGTATGAAGCGTCTACAGTTGAATATTCAAAGAAATATCTTCATTAATAAAAAATTGGCATCGCGCACTCTGCGAATGCACCTGTCTAATTTTTTACTATTCAAAAGAAGTATCTTTAGAAGTAAGAATGTTGACATTGTGCAGTTTGGGCATGCGCACATTTTTCTTGGATCAGGTACCAGAGCTATAAAGTACCGGATACAAAAACAAGGATCAATTAAATATATTGAAATCTGTAGTCGCCTTGAACGGACAGACGGACGGACAGAATAAGTGGCTGCAATAGCGCATCCCAATTCGTTGGAAAATGCGCTAAAAATTATGTGTTGCGCTTTTGTTTTATAAATAATTTCATGTGATTAGAAATTAAATACCAAATAACATATATGAAACATTTTACCAAGA